GACATCCTGGGATTTTTAATGACCACAGAGAGTCAGGACCTCGGTTTAACGTCTCATCCGAAGGACGGTGCTTTGGTAGTGTTTGTACCGTGTTTGGAGCCGACTCTGAAGCGTGCGATAGCTTGAGGGCCGTCGTGAATGCTGGGTCCTCTGGTTCTGCTGCGAGCTGATCGGACTCTAGGAGTCGTACTCTCTTCTTCAGACGAGCTCAGCTCCTCATGCAGAGCTACCGAGGGAGATCAGGTTGTATTATTCTCTGCATTCATGACAAATAAGGTCAATTACAAATGCTAAGGTGTGTGACTGACATGATTTGGCTCTCATGACGTGCATGTCGATGAGGCTGGCGATTTTGGTGTGTCCGTACATCATAGCCAGAGCTCTCGCCGTTTCTCCCTTAACACTCCTCTCCTCTGTTCGTACGCCCTGAATCATACACCGAACCAAAAATACTGAAAACACTGGGGATGTAACGATTCACTCAACTCACGATTCGATTCGATTCACGGTTTTTTTTTTACAAAATGAGATTTAAGACGAATTATAAATTAAATGTGTCCTTTTATTATTGCTTGGACAAAATGCTGCACGTTTCTCTGTGAAATTGAAATATAACACTAATAAAATACTAATATAGCACTTATAGCATATAATTGTTGGTTTTGATTGCTTCTATTGTCCTCATTTGTAAGTCGCTTTGGACAAAAGCGTCTGCTAAATGACAAAATTGAAATATAATGTAAATGTAAATAACAAAACTAAATTGAAATTTTAAAACAAGCCCCAAATCAAATAAATAAGTAACACAAATAAAATAAATCTCTTCATATAAACAAACTAAGGCTTTGTCTGTGCTCTTTCCTTTTAAAATTAAGAGGCAACCACTGCATTTTAATCATGATCCAAACAAAGATGCTGCATGCATGCAACGTGAGCAGTTTTTAATCTAAATTAGATTGTATAATTTAGAACTTCGAAGCAAAAACAGAACGGTTTGACTTCAGTTTTGTGAAACTATGCATAAAAAATATCTGTGAAACAGAAACAGCAGACGAGCTGAATGAGATGCAGATTCACTCTCTGCCAGCAGGTGGCGCTTAAAGCGTTTCCTTGGTTTCCACTGTAAACAAAGCAGCGCTGCACTTATGAACTTTAATATGCTTTATACAGAGGCAAGATTAAAAGAAAAAATACCATCTAAACTTTTCTAAAGACAGTAAGTTCCCCTCAGACATGCATTCATATAAACTCCTACCCCTAAATGAATCGCGATTTGTTTAGCATCTCAACCGATTTGAATCGTCACATATTTGAATCGATTTTCAACCGGCTCGTGGTTAATCGTTACATCCCTAGAAAACACGCAAGCATTTTTTAATATTAGGCGTGTAAATTGTTTTTTGTTTTTTAGGCGTGTAAATAGTTGCTCTGACAACAATTCAGTTATGATTATGTAGTAAATGACATTAGGGATCATGGGAATGAGAAATTTTAGTCACAATTAAGTTTGATTTGATTTTTTGTTTGATGTAAAGCTATTTTTAAAACTAAGCTTTAAGTAAGTTTAACTAGAGGGTCAATTTATACCCAGAAGTAGTTTTGGATCAGGTATGAATCTTGTTTTCGATAAGAAATGTTAATAATTGATTATTAGTTTTCTTAATAGATGCTTTCAGTTGTCTTTGTCAGATTGATGCTCATCCATAATTATTATAGGCATAATTAGATTATAAATTCAAAATAAATCAGAGTAAGGTAGGTCACACTTGCATGGTTGAGCAGGTACTGAACGATGATTTCATGGCCGGACGCAGCAGCTTCCATGAGCGGTGTGAATCCTGACAGTGGCTCTCTGTGAGGGCAAAGGTCAAAGATTTAACATGTTTACTAGCTGTTTAAGCAAGATTATGTCCTGAATGAATTACTAGCATTTATTACATACTAAGCAGTAAATACAGTATTGTTAATGTATAAACTGTGGCGTTGTTGTCACACGAGTGGCGTCCAGTTATCATCTCAGAAATAAAAAGATAAGTCGGCTCCGATGGCCTCGTGGGCAGCGCGCTGACATGTAGCGCCTTTGCGCTTCGGGCGTCCCGAGTTCGCGCTGACATGTAGCGCCTTTGCGCTTCGGGCGTCCCGAGTTCGAGTCCCGGCTCGTGGACCTTTCCCGATCCCACCCCCTCTCTCTCACCCACTTCACTTCCTGTCGACCTACTGTCCTACCTAAATAAAAGGTATAAAACGGCAAAAATAAATCTTAAAAAAAGAAATAAAAAGTTTACATTTTTAATCCAATTCTGTGTAAAAGTGCGTACACCTGTCTGCAAATTTATGATCAAAAAATAGATCAAGAATCTGGTGATGTCACTTATAATTTAATCATCATATCGGAACTGGAATTTATGTAATTTATTCCTGTGACTGCAGTAATGATGCTGAAAATTCAGCTTTGCATCACTGGAATAAATTATACTTTAAAATATATTCAAATAGAAAACAGTTCTATGAAATTGTAATAATATTTCACAATATGTGACCCTGGACCACAAAACCAGTCTTAAGTGTAAGTTCTTAGCAATGCATATTACTAATCCAAAATTAAGTTTTGATATATTTACGGTAGGAAATTTACAAAATATCTTCATGGAACATGATCTTTACTTAATATCCTAATGATTTTTGGCATAAAAGAAAAATCTATAATTTTGACCCATACAATGCATTTTTGGCTATTGCTACAAATATACCTGTGCTACTTATGACTGCTTTTGTGCTCCAGGGTCACATATTACTGTGATTACTGTAGTTTTTAACATATAAATGCAGCCTTGGTGAACATAAAAACATTTGCAAAATCATAATTATTCCAAACTTTTGGCCAGTAATGTACACGGTCTGTTTGTGTAAGAAAGAAGGTGATTTCAAGAACGTAGTTTTGCTTTGTATAAATGAATGCACATGTTACTCACTTGATATTTGCATTGGCGTGATGCTCTAATAAGAATTTGACCATCTGCTGATGTCCTGTAGCTATACTGTGCAGCAAAGCCGTCCATCCGCGCACATCCTTACATTCAAGCTGTGCTCCTTGCTGTACAGAGAGATGTTTCATTCAGTATCCTACAGTGAGCACTGTTTTCTCTACTAAGTTCTGCAAACTTGTAATCGGAAAGAAACTGAATAATCCAACTAATAACTCTTCTTTGTCACTGTTAACAGCAGATGTAAACCTGACCTGCAGTAGGAAGTAGGCGATGCTCTCGTTTCCGCAGCTGGCGGCGAGCATCAGTGGTGTGAGTCCTTTAGACGTGGTGGCGTTGACACTGACGCCCGTCTCCAGCAGCAGGTTAGCGATGTTATCGTGACCGATATATGCAGCGTACATCAGAGGAGTCCAGTCGCCGATGTTCTTCCCATCCAAATCCACATCTCCCCTGAGTAACGATTGGATCAGAGAAAGTGGAGGTTTGGTAAATAAAAGTATTTTTGTTGCTGTTGTCATTTGGTAAATTAGTCATTAGGTATCATGACAATCTTATTTTCTACCTTATATTCTATCCATCCATCCATCTATCTTTCTATCTCTTTGTATTCATCCATCCATCTATCTATCTGTCTGTCTATCCCTCTATCTATCTATCTATGTGTCTGTCTCTATCTATCTATCTGTCTGTCTACCCACCCATCCATCCATCTATCTATCCATCTTTCTATCTCTTTGTATTCATCCATCCATCCATCCATCTATCTGTCTATCTATCCCTCTATCTATCTATCTATCTGTCTGTCTGTCTGTCTACATACCCACCCACCCATCTATCCATCTCTTTGTATCCATCCATCTATGTATGTATGTATCCCTCTATCTATCTATCTATCTATCTATCTATCTATTTATCCATCCATCCATTCGTATCTCTCTCTATTCCTTCCATCCATCTATCTATCTATCTATCTATCTATCTATCTATCTATCTATCTATCTACCATCCATCCATCCCTCCCTCCATCCATCTATCCATCTATCTATCTATCCATCCATCTATCCCTCCATCTATCTATCTATCTATCTATCTATCTAGTCTCTGATTGAAGCATATATTTCTTTAAACGTTCAAACACTCTGGACTAAAACATGTCAAAAGCGGTTAGATGGAGACATGCATGAACAGCAGATTCTTCCATCTGACCTGCGGATGCACTCGGCCACCACATCATACTGTCCGATGGAGCAGGCGGTGTGAAGATCCAGCGGCACGTTCAGCTCCTCCGGGCCGATCAGAGCGTCTCCTCCGCCCGCCAGCCACACGGACAGACTCGCGCCTAACTGCTCCGACTCACTGCTGGCCTCGTCGCTCAGTTCAGACATCCTGCTCTGAAAATGAGGTTTGATATTTAATATTTACAGTTCTGTGCAACAATATTTGCTAAAACTAACGCATGTCAAAATAATACAATCATTTATTTTATCCCTCTCTTTAAATTTAATTTATACAGTGAAATTATGTTCAATTACCTGGTATCAGATTTGTCCGACGGTCAATTCGACTGAAAAAAAATTATTTCATACTCTTATTAATATTATCTTTATAACAGTTGTGATGCTGAAAAGTTATAGTTACAAAAAGTTATCTAAATATGGAAATTACAGCCTTTTACAACATAAGCACCTGACAAATAAAAGCGTACAAACCTTGAAACAATTTAAACTTTCCAAACTGGTAAATCAATGTTTTGTTCAGAAATGGCAAAAGCAGCGGCAACCGGGGTTGCCAGGTTTTCACAAGAAAACCCTCCCAATCGCTACTCAAAACTAGCCCAAAACTAGCCCAACTTTTACAGGGGGTCCCGTTAAAAATCGCATTCCGGGGGTTAAAAATACACGTTTTTTTGGCGGGGTTTCCCTGAAAAAATTCGGATTCCAGGGGATAAATATCATGTTATTGGAGTCGCTTCAACCCGCGGCAACAGTGACTTGACTTGGCAACACTGGCGGCAACTCAAAGGAAGTTTTGTGATCCATCCGGGGCGTGTTGTTAAATGTGTTGTAGGGAGTTGTAGTCTTTTGTCTGCTTCTCATAATACAGTTCAAACAGCTAGTGCACAATATAAGACTACATATCCCATGAGCCACTGATATCTTAAGTGCCTGACGACATCAAACAGCAACACGCTTGTTGATAAAATGCAAAAGAATGCTACACATAATAAAATATCTAAAATAAAAGGCTTGTTTTGGCTGAGAGCATTGACTTGATGTGAACATAATGCACTTAAAATATTTGAGAAATAAGCTGACATTTCTTATACAGGCATTTTAAATACGTTACCATAGCAACTCTTACAATACTTCAGAAACACGCTTCATGTACACAATTTATGTATATTTTAATAAATCATCAGTATTAGTCAGTTGAAAAAAAAGTCTATAAAACCCAGTACAATAAAATAAAAAATATAAAAAAAGTGAATCAGCAAAGTTTTGGTTGTCTTCACACTTTATTAGAATTTTTTCCGTAAGTGTTTTCTATGATTGCAACACTTTGAACATTACAAAAAGTGAAATCTAGCAATATTGTATGCTTAATAAAATGCAAAGAGAATGTATGGCAAAACTGTGCAATAGAAGTACGTAATATTTGACCACACATCTACTTAAGGTACGAATCCTGCTGGTAGATGTTAGCGTGTCGAGTCATAAGTTGAAGTTAAAGCGAAACTCTTCATGTGTTTTAGTGAAAACAAATGATTTTGTGTCTCCATCAGTGTTTGTGTGTTCGATTGTCTCCCGGGGCCCTTGCAGAGTGTGTGTCTCTTGAGATTTGTCTGTTTTATTCGTGGGTTGTGTGTTTCTCTCAGCTCGCCGGTGAAACACTGGTTTGCACTCAGACACACTGGTGAGCCGGGCGGAGGTCATTGCTGTGGAAAGAGACAGCAATTTTGTAAGAATTGTGTAAGGCAGGGGTTTTCAAAATGGAGTCTGTGGAAAGGTTTAGAAAAATAAGTGTAAAGAATTTAAAAATAAATGATTTTAAATAATAACGTCTAACTAACTAAATAAATTAATAAATACATTTATTAAATATAAATAAAAATTAATTATGTAACCAATGTATTTTTATGTATTTTTAAAAATAAATAAATAGTTTTAAAATAAAAAATATTTAAATAAATACATAGCAGCACAGTACTATAGTGGACAGGGTAATAAAAAACGTAACGTAACAATAGAAACTAAATATTTCCAAAATAATATACAAATTTTTTGAATACTTAATTTCACAGCATTATTTGGTTCTTATACATGAAAATATATATATGCCCTCTTAATTTTAAGGCACATCAAAAAAAAAATTGGATATATAAATGCATATTATGCCACTGCCTTACCTGACTGTATGAGTTTGTACTGTCTGGCTCTTTCCTCTTCTATCTTCTTCCTGTAGTCTCCAGAGATCGCTCGCATTACCTGCCTCTTCTTCACCAGGGGAGCTTTGGAGCTGCGCAACGTCTTCAGAGCGCGGCTCGCTTCTTCCCCTAAATGGAGGCATATGTGTAGAAAGATCAGACAGTGAGGGTTTCTTTTGCCCAGAGTTTGTCTAAACTATATATATATATAGAGATGTTGTATTTGTTGTGTTGTCTCACTCACGCTGTTTGCTGGAGGTTTTTTGAGTTCTCAGGCCGAGCTCGAGCTCTGTATGACTTATTAGCATGCAATCTAAGGGGCTGATAAATGCTCTGAAAAAGCTCTAAATTTGTTCATGCTTTCCAGAAACAACCAGAATACTGGAAAATGAGAAAAACACGGATGGCCAGAGTGGCGAGGACCCTGAAACAGCAGCCCAAAACGCTGACACTCCTGCCAATGCTAGAAAACTCAAGAAGAAGAAAAAGAAAGCAGGTGATGGAAAAGATAATCAGCAGAAAGGGGTAAAAAGCAATGAGGAAACATCTAAACAAGAGACCACAGAACTAGTAAGCACATACATATATATATATATATATATATATGCAAGTGTGTATGTGCTTACTAGTTCTGTGGTCTCTTGTTTAGATGTTTCCTCATTGCTTTTTACCCCTTTCTGCTGATTATCTTTTCCATCACCTGCTTTCTTTTTCTTCTTCTTGAGTTTTCTAGCATTGGCAGGAGTGTCAGCGTTTTGGGCTGCTGTTTCAGGGTCCTCGCCACTCTGGCCATCCGTGTTTTTCTCATTTTCCAGTAGTCTGGGTGTTTCTGGAAAGCATGATCAAAATGAGGGCATTTCCAAAACATTTATCTGCCCCTTAGACTGCATGTCACTAAGTCACACAGTACAATGCAATATCAAAGTCTACAAAATGACACGTAAATTCAATACATTCAGCTGGAATTGTTTGTAATCTTACCTGTTACAGTTGATTTCTCTGCCATAGCTGAAGCTTTAATCTTCTGATATCACAAATACACTACTAGTCTGCTCTTTTATATGAAAAAACACAAACGATCACCTGTCAAGTTTCCAGAATTAGTAAACTACTCCTGCTCGAAGCGTTGGATAATCAAATATATTTACAGATTTCAGATATGCATGTGTGAATATCCCATGTGTGTGCACCAAACAAGGGATCCGCCGATAGCACATTTAAAGGTTCCTACTGCAGCACAATAAAATTTGCCCTCCTTAGGCAATGGTGACCCAAAGACTAGTGGATCTCAAAAGCATTGTATGTTTTTCGTCGTGGTTTGCGAAGCAACGATTGTTGCAATAATATATCAGCAATGTTTTGCACTGGCTATTATTAAAAGGAACCGTTGTTTTTACATGGTTATGTAATCGACACCAAACTGGTTCAGGGCTACAAATGGAAGGATTCTAAAATCATCGGATGTTTCATGAAGATGATTAAATGTATATATAACGCCATTTGAAATGTAAAAACAGTTTTAGTCTGATTCATCTGAAGAGACAGACCAAAGAGACTTTTACATTTACATCAAAACCGCGCTAAAATTATTGTAAATAATAAATACTAAAGAAGAGTAAATTCTGCCCCTCGCTCCTCCAGCCAATGAGAGTCGACGTGGGCGTGGCTTAACACACGTAGACGTCACTGACTGTATAAATACAGGGCGGTTCGTTTTGTGCGTGACGGACGTTCCTTGTTGTGGGTTTGACGGATTAACCGAAACAAAAAAATCGTAAGTATCGAAATCATATTCGAAAATCAATCTCATCTTGTATTCATCCTTTTAAATATCGTGTTTATAAAACATTTGAGAATATAGAAAATCTCTTCAGTCCGCGTTTTGTGTTTGGATTCGTAAACGGCGATTTTAGATCATTTTTGTCGCGGTAGCAACAAGCTAACGTTAAGCTAGCGAGCTCATATTTACTTCTGCTTTACCTCAGAAGTTCGTTCACTCTTTTTAACTTTAACCCTTTGTTTTGAACACACATAGTCTCACGTTACGCGTCGTTTTTTGTTTAACCGCTTTCAGGCGACGGTTATTGAATTGTCGGTGTAGACAAAGAAAAGGCTGTAATTGGTTTTCTTGGGCGCCATGTTACACATAAAGGCAGAAACGTGTCTGTGTCTCGTCCTGAGATGGTGGACTTCACTACTGCATTAATCAGAGCTGCTACATCTCAGTTTACCGGGTGTTTCTGATCTCTTTCGCCGTGATTGAAGAGAACGTGGCGTATATGTAGTAACCGTTACTAACGTTAGTTGCTGAATGGGTGAATGAAAGTCGCTGCCGTTGAAGATTTTTTGCCTACAGGCAATGTGTGTGTGTTGAATGGGATTCAGTTGTGTGTGTGTGTGTGTGTGTGTGTGTGTGTGTGTGTGTGTGTGTGTGTGTGTGTGTGACCCAGTTTCCCACTGCGAGTTGTTCAGGTTATTGATTCGCTTTTCTATCTGCTTGTATACATGTTTGACTTTGTATGCACTTTAATGCATAAAAGCTAAGCGTTTATAGAATTTTATATTTTGTCAACTAGTTTACCGTTTTAAGTTTCCGTTTAGCTTTAATCTCCTAAATGGCGCCCCCAAGTTGTAAACACCTTTATTTAGGATATTATTGTCATGGTGTCCTTTTCCCAAACATTAAATGTTACTGCGTGACTTTATTATTGGGCGGGACAGACGCTGGAGTTTTGTCGCGGATGACGTCATGGCGCGCGGAGTTTCTTCGCGGCTGTTCTTTCTTATCGGTTTTTGTGTCTCTTTAGGCCGCTTCATTAGAGTGCCATGGCGCGTACTAAACAGACCGCCCGTAAATCCACCGGTGGTAAAGCCCCCAGGAAGCAGCTGGCCACCAAGGCGGCCAGGAAGAGTGCGCCCTCCACCGGTGGAGTCAAGAAGCCCCACAGATACCGGTGAGAAACACTGAACACGTGTAGTAGATACATGGACAATTGTTTATATGCATTATTTCCTGTGTACACTGGAAGTTATGTATTATAGTGTACATACTGAATATATAAATTGTTCGGTGTATCTACACGAGATATATTTTCAGTATATACACAATATATGTAAATTGTTATATCGTTTTATATATTCA